CAAATGATTCTGTGCAGACTAATGTTGAGAAAAACAAGTCACTTGTGCATTTTTAAAAGAATGGAGGAAGATTCTTCACCACTGATCTGAGATTTAAATGAAAATGTTCTATTTGGAGATGACATGAGCTTAGAAAGCATATCTTCACCTTCTAAGGTATCTGGATTTTACATGTGCACATGCGTGTGCACACACACACATACACACATTCACACACATATGCACATGTACACATACTTCAGGTAATAAGGAAAAGAGGTCAGCTGGAGGTAAAGGCAAAGTGTCAGAGGTGAGCTCTGTCTAGCAGGAAATCTCAGCCGTCTGTATCCTGCTATCTATCTCTGAAGGCCTCCTAACAAACAGGAGGAATTGTATTAAAGAAATGACAAGACAGCACAGACTTGGGTGGCTACTGAGTGACAGTTGGACTGGCTGTTGACAGTGAGTAGTTCTGCCGCTGAATCACTGGACGATGTACATTTTTACAAGTCATTGATGTTAGAAGTTGAAGTTTGAAATTAAGGACAGTAGAGGCTGCACTTCCAACATGTCTCACTGCTGGACTCTTAAGAACGTGTAGAACTTCAGAAACATTCTGACCTCGCTCCTATTTTTGAGAAAAGGAAAATAACCCCAGATGTATTCACGCTTATCCAAACTGTCAACTGAGTCCTCAGATGGCTGAATCAGTGGCCTTCCATCATATCAACTCTTGAAAAATAAGTGGCAGATGTATATATTCTCAAAAACCAAAAACCAAACAACAGCAACAACAAAAAACAGCAGAGAATTTAATAAATTCAGATACTTGTTTCTGTTTTAATTATTTAGCGGACCTTCTAAAGATAATTCCCATAAACGAATGTGTGTGACATTTTCTAGAGGCAGCCAAGGTCCTATTTTGATTTTGCTGTTGTGTCAAATACCATGCTGAGATACAGTTTTGGGGAGGACAGGGCTCATTTCAGTTTACAGACTACAGTCCATCAGTGAGGGGTAGTCAAGGCAAGAACTCAGCAGGAACTTGGCGGAAGGCCTGCTCACTATCCACAGAGGATTACCTCTGACCAAGCAACTCATTTCACAGGTGTTATGGGTCTGGAGTTTCTCAGAGATTCTCCATGACCATGAATAAATTTTAATAAATAAAAGGCTTTATTAAGTGCTGGCTAGGACAATGGATACTGGCCAAGACCATACCCGCAACTGGAGATGCTCATCAGGGTATGGTGCGGAGTTATATTATTTAGGAGCTTATAAAGAAAAAACCCACAAGGCTACAGACTTCCTGCCTATGTGTAATTGAGCACACATCCTGTGCAATTGAGGGCAACCAAGCTTGTATACAGAAGCAAAAGCACAAGGTTTGTTATCTTGCATGAACATCAGCCCCCAGAATTCCAGGAAGTTATCTGTCTCTGGGCAAGTGGGGCTTACAGGTTAGACAAATCTTTGTTTTATAGATCTCTTAGCAGCAATTTAAACTTAAAATGTAATGTTAGCCATCACACAGAGGCACAGCAGGAAACAGAGGAATACTGCCCGATGGATAGCTCATTCTCAGCTGGTTTCCTTGTATAGCTTAGGACCACGTTCTTAGAAAATATATTACCCACAGTGGCCTGAGTCATCCTCAACCAGTTAACAACCAAGGCAGTCCCCCAAAGACATTCCACAGGCCAGTTTAATCTAGGGAATTCCTCAACTGAAGTTCTACTGTCATTATTTCTAGATTCTGTTGAGTTGACAGTAAAAGCTAACTGGGACACAAAAGTAGATTTTAACAGGAATTGTCCCTTCTTTGAGTAGACTAAAAAGAGCATTTAATATGAGTCCTGAGTTTGTATTTACTTGGGGCAACTTCTCAGTGTCATGAATGGTGATCAATAACCTGTCTTGGGAGGTTTATTTTGTTTTTTAAATAGACCTTGCTACAGTGCCAAATTGGCTTCAAACTCACAACCTTGCTTCAATCTCCCAAGTGCTAGGTTCATATATTTGATCTACTGTACCTCACTACATCTTAAGAGAATATCTTAAGAGGGGGGAAAAACCCCTCTTTTTTTCATAGACAATATTAAGTTAATATTCTTGCTTAGAGAAATGTTATAACAGGATTGGAGAAGAAGGCAGCGAAAACAGACTTAGCTAAGTAGGTGCTTGTCTTCGGTCCCAAGTGTCTAGAGCTGCAGAGTTAAAAGCTATGGCTACCTGCATTTGAGAAGATGGCGGAAGAGATAGGTCAGAGAGAAGCTTTTCAGCCACTCTCTGTGCACAGAAATGTATACATAAGGCACAAGGAGGGGCTAGGGAGCTCCTCAAAGAATGCATAGAGAGCCAAGTAGAGGTGGCATGGAGACATCAGAGCTTATGTCACATGTGACACAAGTTGCAATAAAGTGTAGGGAAAGGTGAACTTGTTTTGTCTGCTGCTGTATCCTGGTTTTTCTATAGTTAGATGACTGAAAATAAAAGGCAGCCTTGCATTTGTCACCTGTGGCTCGTGAGGCATTTCATTTCCATAAGCTTAGGAGAGAGTGTGCCCTGATCCTTTCCCGGTACCCTTTTCACTCCCTTGAGGACTGTGGCTTGGTCTTTCCTTGCCCCTTTCTTCTTTGGTCAAAACAATGTGCTAACATTTAATATGAATCGTGAAGCAGACTAAAGGAAAAGATAGTCTTTAGAACAAGGTCAGATACCTGATGGGCTGTGCACGTACTCAGTATTACTGTTTGGTCCATTACACGTGGCACATCTATACAGTCCTGATGATCTTACCTGCTTCTTCCCTAGAAGAAAGAACTAGAGCTGAGATAGGTGGATAATGTCAGGGGCACTGGACATATTTTCTCTTTAACAAGGACACACATGCTGTTAGGAAGAAAATATGACCTTAGAAGTGTCTTCTCCTTGGCGTGTCTCAGTGTCCTCGGTTTTTATAGGATGGTCACCCTCTTCCCTCAAACTCCCAGCCAGAAGAGCTGAGTTTTTTTTCTGACTCCTCAGTGAGAGCTATAGATTTTAACAATCACGATAGAGAACAGACTCAGACTTGAATTCCATCTGGCTACTACTGCATCCTTCCGTACATCTACTCTTAACTGTTAGTATTATTCAAACATTTCAAAATTGCAAAGTCTTCCTTCTAAAATAATCTCTGTTTTGTATCCAGGACTATGGAGCTTACAACAGACAGACTTTTGTGTAACCTTGGACATAGGACTTGATTTTGTTTGCTTTGGAAATTTGCCCTGGTTTGGGGAGAATAGAAAGATCTGGCACCTTCTATTTCATTTTATAGGTTCAAATACCATTGAATATCACTGAGGGCTTTGGCTTGTTAAACGCGTTGGTAACAGCTGGGCTTTGCTAATTTTAATGCTACTTTTAAGAGGAAAGCTGGGTTCAGCATTTATTTATACCACCACTCTAGTTCTTTTATTAACAAGTTAAATTATAACCAAGAGCCGTTCTTAAAACTCATCAGGCTTTCTGAATGTTTTTAAATCACAAGAGTATATAATCCTGCCCAACTTCAAAGTCACTGCTGTACCCATGGCCCTCATCATCCAGCTCTGTGTCCCCTGCTGCCCACTCCGGTGGCCCTGTAAACAGCCATGTTTGAAAATAGTCTTGAACTATATTTCTTTTATCACTCCTAAGTAGACCCACGTGGAAGTGGAAACCTAGGGACAGAGGGTGTGTGTGTGTGTGTGTGTATGTGTGTGTGTAGGGGGAGTAATGGTGGCTCATAGCTATAATCTCAGTGCTTGGAAAACTGAATCAGGGGGATCACTCTGCAGCTCTACAGTTGAGGCCAGCCTGGGTTATAGAAAGAGGGAGAAACCAAGGGGTTTTTAGAGATAAGATCTAAGCTAAAATTAAAAGCTCCTCCTAGAAATCACTCCCAAGGACCAGTGTGTGTGTTTATATGTATGTCTAAGCATGTATGGGCTGCTGAAACTAAGAAAACTGAAGCCAGCAGTAACTCTTTGGGCATCTTACAGCAGCTATGTGTACATGGCAGTGTCTTCTCCTAGGATAACCCCTTATATCAGGGTGCTCTCTGAATAGAAAGATGGAGACCTACTGAAATGCTATTCTACATTTACTATTCCCTATTTACATGAATGCCTCTCAACACAGAGGTGTGCAGAGATCATGGAAACCAAGCACAGCGTGCCTTTTGGATGAGCTTGGTGTGTCTGTGCAGCAGAGACTCCAGCTGACAGGGAGGTTTAGTTCATGTCAGTGAGCTCCATCCACAGATGCCCCAGCTGTTTGGGCTCTAGATCAGCCTGGGTTGTGAGACACATCTAACTGAGGTGGTTTTGGGTTTCAGTTCTTTTTAGCAGAGACACATTCTGTTTTCTAACCAAGCTCCTGAGCTGGCTCAGCAGGAGAGCTGTGCCTGGGACTAATGTGTGTCCTTTTATTACCTCCACCAAGTGCCAGTAACCTACTTCCAGCCACATCAAATGAAATCCTACTTCACAATTCTTAATGCCTGTCAGAATCTGAATAGCTGATGGAAAAAATCTAGTCACCAACTGGCCATGTCTATGGTCACTGTCAAGGCTGATCTCCTTCACTCCTGAATTTCATACAGCTGTGTCATCCCTGTGTCATTCTCGGTGTAACATGGGACCTAGATATCCTTCTCAGTATCATTATGTCCCTAAAAGAAAAACTTTACTCCCTGGGGTGAACTCAATTCCCATGTAAACTCCCTTCCTCAGTGGCTAGAATGTATGTGTCCTTTTGTCACATGTGAAACTTCTGCTCATTCCCCCACCACCACCTCTCTATCTGTGGATTGGGAAAACATCCTAGTCAATTGATGACCAGATACTTTAAAAAAGTGTCTCCTGTATTCTGGTGGCTCTGCAGATACCCATCCCGATGCCCAGGATGTCAGCTGTGTTGCTCTGTGTGGACCTCTGGCAATGTAGTAACTTTGCATTTTGTCTTACTTTGTTTTATTCTTTTCATTTTTGTAGGACCAGGAAGAAAACAAGGGAGCAACAAGTTGGCCCGAGTTCTACATTGATCAGCTCAATTCCATGGCTGCTGTAAGTATAATTGCATTCTGTGACAGTCTAAAATAGGGTGCAGAGCATATAGTTGCACAACCAGCTTGATTGAGTAAGATCTTCTGAATGCCGTTGCCTTTCCAGACTCCATTCCCAGCACTCAGTGTTGGAGGTGTTGGGGACGAGGGGCTGAAATGTTGCCTAGCGAAGTGAGTTTTTAAACGTGTTTTAAAGAATCTGCATACACTAACATATGATTGATCTTAATGTTTTAAGAGGAAATGTCATGTGAAACGTGGCTCCTATTCAACTTGAACTTGCTGTTGCTGTGACTAATTATCGGGAGCTTTGCAACACTCTGTGGATGGTAGGATCATCTAACAGTAGTGTGACCTGTCCCTTCATCATGCTCGTGCCTCTCTCCTTCTCTCTGGGAACTTAGTTTCCTGGGGGTTGGGGGTGGGGCGAGAGGTTCATATACAGAATTGTAACATGGTTTGATGAAATGATGTAATAATCAGAATGCCCTTGGGAAAGCTGTGGTCTATGGCTATCAGTTAAAATGCATTCTCAATATCTGAATTTTGGCCTCTGAGATGTTAGGACTCCAGGCAGCTTGAAGATCATCTATTAATCAGAGCTAAAATTGACAACAGGTCATCAGCCTTCGAGCCTTAGTAGCCTAAATCATGTTGCCATTGATAAAAACTGAAGGTTGAAGTCTTTATTTCACAAGGCATACTCATGATTTTAAAAGGGTTGTATCCAACTTTAAGTTGATAATATCAAATAGAAGGTAGTTTCCCAAAGACCCTTCCTCTTTCCTGCCTCCACCCAGGTCCTCATGGAGAATTGTCTTACTACTCCAAGACCTTTAATGTGACCTAGGATTTTACTGCTGCTCTCACTGCAAAAGTTAAAAGCCCACCCAGATCCATGAATTTACCTGCTCTTATTTAAGCTTCAAAGGGCCTAGACTTTCAGTACCTTCCTCTTCTTTCCTCTGTTTCTTTCTTATTCTGCTGTTGTACCTTGAGTAATAAGCAGCCTAGTACATGTGACCAGGACTGTGCAAATTATATAAAAAGCCACAGAAGCAATTTCCTCAAGGGTTTCTAGTCTAAAAACAGAAAAGAGGAGAGGACAGGAGAGGAGAAGATCTGCTCCATACCCCACATCCCCCAAACACCACTCCATACCCTGTGCTCCTCCAGTGATGAGGAAATGGGGACATTGGCGTCTCTGTGGATCATCTAACAGAATGGGAAATTTCTGATGACTGCAAGGACTTCTCTGTGCATCCACAATTTGGAGCCATTCACCAGTTCTTACATGTAGAGGTCGTTTGTGAGTTCTTATTCCTGACTATGAGGAAAAAGGAAATGTCAGGCAGATTGTCTCTGGGTGTAATTAAGTTGACATTGTTTGATGTCTAACAAGAGAAATGCTAAGTTAGTGAATTCTTTGTCCTGAATGGAGAAGTACTAAGTAGTGTGGATTTTCCTTTCCTTGGATACAGGAAGTTGGATTAATTTGTCCTTCAGTGACTTTTGTGTCTAGGGTAGGATTATCCTTGAGTCTCAGGGTCTTTGATATGCCTGTATATGGCCCTTCTTCAAACTCTTTGCTTTCTCCTCTCCCCTGGACAGCTTTTCTTGCAGCATTCTTGAGTGGACTATACTTTAATCATTTGGTTCCTTATCTAAAGTCTTCCCCAGGACATCACAAGGCTATTAGATTGTGGGACTTTGCCTTCCTTTATGTGTCAGACACCTGACATTATCTTTGAAATGCTTCTTCTATTAGGCCTGAGGCATTATCGTTCTAGGGTCAAAGATAAAGAACATTAGCTGACCATCGATCGGTTAGCCAAGTCTCAGAACTCTCGAATGCTTAAAGAAGCAAGGAGCCCAGTAACAGCAGAAACTCTACTGAGTACTCTTTCTCTCACCATCCTGGTTGCCACTAGTCCTTGCTGTAGTTCTGGCTGCCATCTGTGCTAGAGGTTTCTCCACAGCACAGCAAAGCCCTGAGACATTGTCCCTGGGGACAGCGATGGTACATAGTTCCTCCAGATCCTTAACTGTCCCAGGAGCAGGATGCTGGCTGTGCTTGGGAACTGATGAAGAGGCATTTGTCCACATTGTCATCATCTGTCATCTGTAACATCAGTGGCAGCTACTATTGAACTGCCTAGTATGACAGGCAGTGCTGCTGTGCTGTTCATAGAGTCTGAGTCTAAAGGCAAATCACCTTGCCCAAGGTCATCAAATTAAGAAGTGGTCATCTAATTAGGGATTTAAGCTATCTGTCTGAACCCAAAAATAACCTCACAATTAGTCGCTCATTCTTGGTTTTGACATCTGTGGGGTACATGAAATAGGCTGGGGGATGGGACTCTTCCTTGTCCTCTAGGTACACACTGTAGGAACTGTGGTCTGACTGTTGTGGGGAAGGGAAAGCATCTGCTTTCTTTAATGCCTCTGGAGTCTGATAAAAACGGTCCAGGCTGAGAACAGCCACACTTCTATGAAACTCGCCTTCTGTAGAACAAGTTATGTTACATAGGCCTTGGAACAAGAACACATTGTTCTTTAAAGGACCCCTGAGTTACCTTTCGGCCTTTAAAAAGTCAAAGAATGTATGATACAGGAGAATGGCCCAGTTTATAGCAAGGAAATGTTTCAGACCAGAGTGGTTCTGGTCCTGGTCGCTGTGCCACGTCTGTGCACTGTGTCTCAGTGCACATCTCAGCAGCTTTCCCTGAAAGGTCCTTGCCAGTGTGTACTTTGTCTTTTGCTGACTTTGTGTGTGAGCAGACACTTACAACTATTAGGATACCTGTATGTGTAGCAGTGCATACTACTTGTGTAGCCTGGAGACTGCCTCTAGAAATATAGGCTTATCGCCATTATCAGCTATAAGTTGCAAAGGAAACTTCTAAAGCCTGAACACTTGAGGCTTTCTATGAAAAGCAGCATTGGGATGGCAGGTTCATCTATTTATAATAATAATAATAATAATAATAATAATAATAATAACAATAATGAAGTATCTTGAGATGATTTGTGAACCTGAAAAGATAAAAATCCTCCCTGCATTAGAGAAGGGAGTTCCAGTGTAGTTTCCTGTAGCACTTCATAAATCTCCCTACTCTCAGAAGGACACTGCCATCTCTGTGTTCAGAACCCTACTCCATCCAGCATTGCTTAAATGCAGGAGTACAGGCACCTTTATCTAGTTTGGGTGACCCACAGTAAAACACAGTTTGAGTTCAGCATGGCCTTACAAGTTAATCTACAAAACAAGGAGTGGTACCTATTATAAAGGCCTGATGCTGAGCTGCAAATTCAAAGCAATTTCTGAGACTCTAGAGAAGTCCAGCTGCCACTGGAGACTGAATGCCCTTCATGAATTCACAGAGTTTTCCACAGGATGGCTCTCACAG